GTATGTTATGTTAGCTTCACCGTTGTTAATGAAGTAGATTATTGTCCGTCTGTTTGTCTGTCTGCCTGTTTATCTGTCTGTATGTATGTCTGTCTATCTATCTATCTATCCGTCTATCTGTATGTTTGTCAGTCTATCTATTTATCTATCTGTCTTTCTATTTATCTATCTCTCTGTCTGCGTCAGCCTGTGATAATAATTATAAAAATAATGATGATGATGATTATAATGATAATATTAATGATAATAATAGTAATCATTATCATCATCCCCATAATCGTAATGATAATTATAATAATCATAATACTTAATAACCATGATAATTGAATATACTAGAAAAACAACAAAAAAAACGAAAAAAAAAACGAAAACAAAACGAAGAAAAGAAACGAAAACATGGTAACCAACACGAAAAAAGGAAAAACGAGACGAGAAAGGGAAACACAAAACGAAAAACACGAAACTAAATGAAACGAAAAACTAAATTAATACGAATAAGCGAAGACGAAGCGAAAGAAAGACGAAAATGAATAATAAAAAAAAAAGCGAAGCACAAAATAAATAAAAAAAAAGAAAAAAACGAATAAGGAAGAACAAGAAAAAACGAAACGAAAAAACAAGTAACATAAGAAAAAAACAAAGCGAAAAACGAAACGAGAAACGAAAAAAAGAAAGAAAAAAACGACCCGAGAAACGGAAAAAGAAGAAATCGACACGAAAAAAAAAGAAAAACGAAACGAGAAAACAGGTCTCCATTTACCGCAGTTCCTCGGCTCAGCCTCAGGAGGTGGGCGTGAGGATAACCTGAAGGAAGCTCAGGCCGAGTAACTGGGGCGTGAAAGTCCTCTCTAGGGCGTGGGGGGGGGGGGGAGAAGGCGCCCTAGCTCCCCCCCTTTCTGTGCCTCCAACAGGATCCCCCCCCCCCCCTCCCATGTGTCCGTCCGCCACAGGGTGTTCCTATTTCTCTCTCTCTCTCTTTTATCTTTCTTTCTCTTTCTCTCTCTTTCTTTCTTTCTCTCTTCCTCTCTCTCTCTCTTTCTTTCTGTATCTCTCACTCTTTCACTCTCTTTCTCTCTTTCACTCTCTCTCTCTCTCTCTCTCTGAATAAATAAGTGAAATTAGAATACAAAATATGATAGTCCATGCCGACATCCTAATATAAGAAGAATATGATTTGCAGATAGGAAAGTTTGAAAATCCGCTTAACTGATAACTATAATAATAATAATAATAATAACCACTATCATTATTATCATAATCATCATCGTGGAAACATAATCATAATCAATGTTGTTATCACATTAACTTTCCTCGTTTAATATATAGTTTCACTTACCATTTCATATACTTCTATTTTATCCTGTTTTATTTAATTTTACCTTTTTAATTTTTATTTTTATTAATTTTATATTTTTTCTTTTACCTTTTTTATCTTATTGTATGTTATTTTACTTTTTTTATTTATCTATCTATCTTTTAATTCATTGACGACCATCTTAAAAATGTAGGCCTATGCCATCCTACATAAGTCTCTGTCATATCGTTTATCTTCCAGCTTTTCACTTATATTCTTATTAATTTGTTTGTCCTTTTGCTTTTGTTTATTTTTTATCTACTTATTCATTTATTTGTTTCTTTTTCTGTTTATATGTATCAACTTGTTTCGTTTCTTTTTTCTTTTATTTGTCAGTTTATTAACTTATTTGCTTATCTGTTTATTTATTTATCTCCCTATTTATACGTTTGTTCATGTATATATTTATTTATTTGTTAGCCAATAAGCACACTTATTCATTTATATATTTATTTATCTATTCATTCTACAGGCGGCCGCAAGGGTAGTGATGATTGTTTTGATGCAACAATTCCGGATAAAAATGTTGAATTTCAGTTAATCATCATCAATGCATTATCTGTTATCAAGTAGTTGTTATCACGAATATATCATCATGCCATCTGCCATCAGGAATCTGTCGCCATGTCATCAGTCATCAACAATCTGTCACCATGTCATCAGTCAATAATAATCTGTCACCATGTCATCAGTCAATAATAATCTGTCACCATGTCATCAGTCAATAATAATCTGTCATCATGTCATCAGTCAATAATAATCTGTCACCATGTCATCAGTCAATAATAATCTGTCATCATGTTATCAGTCAATAATAATCTGTCACCATGTCATCAGTCAATAATAATCTGTCATCATGTCATCAGTCAATAATAATCTGTCACCATGTCATCAGTCAATAATAATCTGTCACCATGTCATCAGTCAATAATAATCTGTCATCATGTCATCAGTCAATAATAATCTGTACCATGTCATCAGTTAATAATAATCTGTCACCATGTCATCAGTCAATAATAATCTGTACCATGTCATTAGTCAATAATAAACTGTTACCATGTCATCAGTCAATAATAATCTGTCACCATGTCATCAGTCAATGATAATCTGTCACCATGTCAGCAGTCAATAATAATCTGTCACCATGTCATCAGTCGTTATAATCTGTCACCATGTCAGCAGTCAATAATAATCTGTCACCATGTCAGCAGTCAATAATAATCTGTACTATGTCATCAGTCAATAATAATCTGTCACCATGTCAGCAGTCAATAATAATCTGTCACTATGTCATCAGTCAATAATAATCTGTTACCATGTCATCAGTCAATAATAATCTGTACCATGTCATCAGTCAATAATAATTTGTCATCATGTCATCAGTCAACAATAATCTGTCACCATGTCATCAGTCATGAACAATCTATCGCTATCGTAGCCTCCGGATTTGTACAGTGGTAACATGTCGGTCTTTCATCCGAGGGGTCGGCGGTTCGCGCCCCGCCCAGGCGTGAGAAGTTGCAATTGTCGCCTGGAGGTGACTGTTGGGGCTGGACACCACGCCGGGTAAGGACTAAGTTCAGCTTATTTCATCAGAAAACTGTCAAAAAGTCATCAGTCATCAGTTATTTTTCATTATACAATTAATCGCCAAGAATCTGTAACTATGTCATTAGACATCAAGAACCTGTCACCATGTTATCAACCATCAATAATTTGTCATCCTGCCATCAGTCATACAGTGTTTGTTATGTCATCAGGAATCTGACACTAAGTCATTAGGCATCAACAATCTATCAGTCATCACGAATCTGTCATCGTGTCATCAGATATCAGGAATCTGTCACCATGTCATCAAATGTCTGTCAATAGTCATCCACCTGTCATCAGACATCAATGTCATCACGAATTTGACATTAGCATCACGAATGTCACCATGTCATCAATCATCCCGCTCTGTCACCATGTCATCAATCATCCCGATTTGTCACCATGTCATAAATCATCAACAATGTCATTACGAATCTGACATTAACATAAACGATGCCATGAGTCATCATGAATCAGTTATGTCATTAGTCATTAACGATTTTTCACGATGTCACCAATCATCCCGATCTGTTAACATGTCATCAGTCATCATGAATCCATGTCATCAGTGATCAGCAAGATGTCCCTACGCCATAGATTATACATAATAATAAAAATTAAATAAGGTAAAAAATATAGATATAAAAAATCGGATTATTATATATCTGTATTAATCTGTTTCACCTGATGTATTAATATTTTTCATATTGCATATTAGAACGGCTTTAAAGATACGCCAGTTTATTTTTATTTATTTAGTTTAGTTTATTTTTATCCCAACCATTTCAGTAGCATGTATTACCCTCACGACCTACTTAAACGCTTGTGTTCTGTGGTGCAGTGATAGCGTTGTCGTGTAGTAATTTTGATGACCAGCGTTCGAATCCCGCACCGCCAGTGGATGGTAACCCCGGCTATTTCTTGCACAGAGGGGGTAATTTAGAAGCATAATAAACAGACAGCTTGGCACACAAGGATAACCAGTGTAACAAATGGAATTAAACTAAATTGTTATCAATTATTATTATCCATAAGTCAGTGAGGATCATATTTTTTTTTCCATCATAGAAAATTTAATATCTTTTATTACTTGTTTAAATTTTTGCCATTAGATTTTCCATCATAAAAAAGCTCTATTATTTGTCTGTATCTTTGCCTTTTTTTTTCTTTTTTTTTTTCTTTTTTTCTCCCACACAAAATACATACAGCAGATCCACCTTATTCATCTGATTTATTCATTTTGTATTATTTTATTCATGAGACACGGCGACCCCACTGATCACTAACTCGCGGTCTGTACTTCGAGAACCCTGTTTAGAATATGTATTTTTATATAACCGTCAAAATATCTGACTTTATGCATCGGATTAGATCGTTATCGGTTTTGGAGATTGGAAAAATCTACATAATTGATTTATATGCATCGGAAACATATATGCTTGTGTGTTGAAGGGAAATACAAAGATAGTAACGTGTGAATGGAGATTGCTAGAAACAAAAGCATAAATAAGGAGACAATAGTATCAGAACTGTTGCGTTTTATTTTATATATTTATATATAATCACGGTATTTAGATTTGTATGATTATATTCCTGTAAATACATGCTTGCTTGTTGAACAGAAACAAATCCCTGCGTTTCATTTCATTAATCTCTGTTAATCACGATGTCCAGATTAGTATAATCATATTCGTATAACTAGTTGCTTGCATGATGGACAGAAATACGTACACAATGACGTATGGACAGAGATTCGATAAAACAGCCATATGAATAAAATACTACTATTATCCCCATTCCTGTTTTATTTCATAAATTTATGTGATTATCACGGTGTTCAGATTTGTATAATTATATTCGTATAATAACATGTTTGTTAGTTGAACATAAACGCTACGAAAAGTAACGTATGAACAGAGATTTAATAAAAACATAGCCACATAAATCAAAGTATAGCATTATTGCTTGTGTTTGATTTGATGCATATTTATGTTTATTATGGTGTATAGATTTGTATAATTAGATTAATTCATCAACGATTTTTTTCTGTTTGCAGGTACTGTTGGTGAATCCAAAATTATTCTTCGCTTCGTCTGGCTGTGTCAGATGAGTTGGATTTTTTTTTTTATGTGTATTTTTCTTATTATTGCTACTCTTGTTTCAAAACTCCATTTATTTGTTTCCTTGTTTTGAGTGTTTTAACCGTTGTCTAAGTTTATCGTGATTTCTCTCTTTCTCTCTCTCTCTCTATATATATATATCTCCCTATCTATCTATCAATCTATCTATCTATCCATCTCTCTCTCTCTCTCTCTCTCTCTCTCTCTCTCCTCCATCCTCACGAGAAAATCGTTACGTGCATATGTCCCCGTCCTCCCGCAGCCTTTGAACAGGACAGAATTAGATCCCTTTTGAACTGGAACCAAGCCTCCAACGGTACTTAAGGGGATGGCCTGAACGTGGAGACATGATAATTTTCTAAAATTAATCTTGGTTTCGTCTCTCCTTTGACATGGGGTCCAAGTGTGGTTTTGACGCTTTGACCTCGGCTTCTCTCGTTAATGCTTTCCCTTTCTGCGAGAGAAGGGGGAAGGGGGGACGGCCGAGGAAATTTTCCCGAAAATAAAACGTTGGAGAGAGGAGGAAGGAAGGAAGAGGAGGAGGCTAAGAAGTGAGGAAATCTTCGAGGGAAGTTTCGTTCATATGCATTTTTTTCACTTTGTTTTATTTATTTCATTATTATTTAGATGGAAAGATAGGTGGGTAGATAGATAGATAGATAGATAGATATTATAGATAAGTAGATTGATAAATAGATACTATAGATATAGAATGGGACATAGACACACACGCATGTCTACACACACGTAAACACACTCTCACACCCACTCATACGGAAAGAGAAAAAAAAATAGATAGAAAGACAAAGTGAGGAAAGGTAATAGTAAGTAGAACAAGTGTGACAACAGTTTATTTGTATTAGTATCTTCATCCGAAATGCCATGAATATTTCAAATATAACTTTCATAACCTACACACAATCCGTTTACAAATCTATGCATAATCCATTTACAACTTCCGGTAAAAGAAAAAATTACGTAGTGTCTGAGTTATTTTCACCAACAAGTATCACAAATTGGACCTTCACCGTGGCAAGCATCTGGAGCAGAAATAGGCTGTTAAGTGCCGGTTATTTTGACGATGGCAGACTTTGTTTATACCTTATTGGGACCAAGTATATGGCGATTTTATGAACGGGGTCGTGGAGAGTCGTACGGCATCAGGACGACCTCGGCAGGCGTTTGTGAAAGTATGTGAACAAGCTTTGGGTTTGTCTCCCAATTGGGAATGTTATGGTAATGGTGGTTCAAGTTTCGGCATTTTAGCTTGTCTGCCTAGGGGATGTCTTTGGGGTGTTTCAGGCCGGTTCTTTGTCTGTGTGCCTGTCTTGTTTTTCATTTTTATTATTATTTATTTTCTCTCTCTCTCTTTCTTTCTCTCTCTCTCTCTCTATCTCTCTCTCTTCTCTCTCTCTCTCTCTTTTCTCTCTCTCTCTCTCTTCTCTCTCTCTCTCTCTTATTACCATTGTTAATGTTACAATTATAATCAATTTATCGTCATTATCGCTACTATTACCATTATTATTATTATTATTATCATTATTATAATCGTTATTATAATTGTCATTATTATTTTCACTATTATCATCACAATTAACATTACCATCACCACCATTATTACTATTGTCTATGAACCAATTTCACAAAACATATTTTCTCTCTCTCTCTCTGACTCTCCGTCTCTCTCTCTGACTCTTTCTCTCTCTCTCTCTTATTACCATTGTTAAAGTTACAATTATAATCAATTTATCGTCATTATCGCTACTATTACCATTATTATTATTATTATTATTATTATTATTATTATTATTATTATTATTATTATTTATTTTCTCTCTCTCTCTCTCTCTGACTCTCAATCTCTCTCTCTGACTCTCAATCTCTCTCTCTGACTCTCAGTCTCTCTCTCTGACTCTCAGTCTCTCTCTCTGACTCTCAATCTCTCTCTCTGACTCTCAGTCTCTCTCTCTGACTCTCAATCTCTCTCTCTGACTCTCAGTCTCTCTCTCTGACTCTCAGTCTCTCTCTCTGACTCTCAATCTCTCTCTCTGACTCTCAGTCTCTCTCTCTGACTCTCAGTCTCTCTCTCTGACTCTCAATCTCTCTCTCTGACTCTCAGTCTCTCTCTCTGACTCTCAGTCTCTCTCTCTCTCTCTCTCTCTCTCTCTCTTGTTTGTCTGTGTTTCTGTCTCTTTATCTCCGTCTCTGTCTTTGTCTGTCTCTTTATCTCCGTCTCTGTCTTTGTCTGTCTCTTTATCTCCGTCTCTGTCTTTGTCTGTCTCTTTATCTCCGTCTCTGTCTTTGTCTGTCTCTTTATCTCCGTCTCCAACTCTCTCTCTCTCTCTCTCTCTCTCTTGTTTGTCTGTGTTTCTGTCTCTTTATCTCCGTCTGCTCTCTCTCGACTCTCAATCTCTCTCTCTGACTCTCAATCTCTCTCTCTGACTCTCAGTCTCTCTCTCTGACTCTCAGTCTCTCTCTCTG